CTTCTAACAGAAAGTCAGAATCAACTGATTTTAGTTTTACAAAAACAGTCACAGGACTCTCACTTGGAGCCCAACATCTGAACATGTTCAGTAGTGAACTTCTGAGCATTTGTTTTCTCACTCCCAATCAGTCATGATTTCCACAACTTGTATTAGTCAATGAGGCATTAGTGTGTCCTTAACAATCATTTCCATAAATGACTGTTGGGTCACTCTAGCTAGAGCTTTAGGCTGGGGCTCCATCTGACTGGGGTGTCATGTTTCAGATGTAACCCAAGTTATGTGGACTACTCAGTCTGGAAAAAATGTGGACACACCGGCTTTGTGAGTGCACAAGTGGGGCTGATATTTCTTGGTGGAAGCTTCAGCATAAACAAATAGCTCTTCAATCAGCTGACAATGTACAGAATAATTAGTGGAGATGAGCCTACCAGTGACTGAGAGTTCATAAAAGCCATGTCCCTTTGGAGAACAGAAAGCAAAACTTAAAGGAAAAATCTCGTTCCCTTTTCCCCATGCAAGACAGCTTGTATCATAAACCAAGAGCAATATGGGAATAATATCTCACTTTAAATCATTAGATCTCACCAAGGGCAGGCCACTTTTTCTTAGTTTTTTTTTCATTCTTTTGAAATTGACTGTCCTGATTGTAATCAAAACCTAAGAGCTGACTACTAATTCTGTGAAGATCAGACTGTTGGACTTGCTTATCTCGTGTTTTTTTTTTTTTTTTTTTTTTGATACTAACTTTTATGTGTGTGTGCATGCCACAGCCCGTGTGTAGAAATCAAAGGACAGCTTTGGGGTCGGGGTCAAGTATTCTACCATCTGGGTTTAAGGCTTGGTGGTGAATGCCTTTTCCTGCTGAGTTATGTATCTGTTAGAGGCCAGTTTAAAACTTAGCTTCAGATCTTTCATATTACACTTTACCCACTAATTTCAAGTTTTACATTTTCTACCTGAAATCCTGAAAGTTAACTTTTGGGCATCTGCTTGCAATGTTTATACTCTTTCCACTAACCTGTTTTCAGTTTTATAGGCTGCATTACTTAGAATTCTACAGTACAAAAGTAACTTTTCAAACATGTGTCAAGCATAGCTGAGGTCATTATATAAGTTTGAAATGAATGATCCTGAAAATTACAAGACTAACTCAGTACTTCGAAAAAACTTGTGAATACTTTTCTCACTTTGCTCCCATTCAGTTCAACCAATAACTTTTTCATCAGTATCCAATTAAGTAACCACTATGTAAGCAGGGCATAAAACAGAGTAATACATTTTCACCCAAGAGATGCTGATACACTTAAATTTAATCAGTCTATGCACACAGTTTTGTAGCCAGACTAGTTGAAATTTAAAAAAGCAGAAATCCCCAAGTGACACCCAGCTAATATGATCTTCACTGTAAGACATAAACATTGTATGAATGACAGTGGTTTTTAAATATTTATTGTATTTGTGGTATGTGTGAGTTGTGCATGCCACTGCACCCATGTTGAGGTTAAAGACAGCATTTGGTTCTCTCCTACCATGGGTTGCAGGGATCAAATCCAGGTTGTCAGGGTAGCTGGGCAAGCATGATACTTGTTGAGTCACTTCTCGGTAGCTGGGCAAGCATGTTACTTGTTGAGTCACTTCCCAGTAGTAAGATTCTCAACCAACTCACAGATCACATTCATCTGATTCTCCCCACCCCAGGAAGACATTAAGATCTGTATGGCATGACTCAAAATTTTGGAAGGAAGGGTAGTGTCTAAAGATACAAATCATATTTCTGAACCTGGGCAGATAATGCAAACAGCTGGTAGTGTGTGAATCTAGGTACCTTAAGGAGTGGCAGTGGGGTTAACAAAAAATATTTTTGAGACAAGGAAAACATTTGGCTTACAACTAATGTGAGATTATGATCTTTGAAGAGAAGATTTGGGGATAACTCAAATCTTTAGACTTTTAACATCTGCTAAATCATCAAAAGATCAGGTCTGCCAGTCTATATACCTGGTACCATGGTTGCCAGCTAGCTGCCATTGGAGGTGTATGAAAAGGGTACCCTCCCAGTGATTAAGCAGATAGAGGGCAAAGGAACTTACACAAGCATAACAAGAAAAATTGGCTACCTTAAAGTACAGAGTTGTCAAAGGAAGCTTTTAATGGTATCAAGCTACTGGGAGAAATCTTAGCAGCTCTTCCACTTTGCTTAAGATACCAATATTAGTCATTTTCACATATAAATTGAGACTAAGATTTGATAAGCAATGCTTTTTGCTTATGGTGGTAGGTATGCATGATAAGCTAGCAACCCTACCAAGTGAGATACATCCTTAGCCCTCTTCAAAGAAATTCTTACATTTACAAAAATACCTAAAAACTGTACCAATGTTTTTCTAAAGGCACGTGGTATTTTGGATGCACAGACCAGCCAAGGACCACATAGTAGTTCATTGATTTCCGTTGTCTTTTAAACAGTGATCTGCTAAGAATTCTAGAATGTGAGATTCTTAAATTTTCTAAGCAGTGTTTAAAGGATCAATAAAAACTTAAATGTGCTCTTTACTTTACTTTGGTATTTGTGTCTGGAGGGGGGAGGCCACACTTTTAACTCATTCTTTTGGCTTGAGAAGATGCAGCACATGCATACTGTCCAGGTTTTATTGTACCTTGTGTACAGTCGTTTGCAGTTTTCCATTCATGTGTGATTTGGGAACACTATTCTGCACACAAATATATACATATATACATACACACACATATATATGAATTCATATATATACACACAATTTCCACAAGTTCAAGAATTTTCTGCATACCAATGTACTATAACCCACAATAGATATATTTGGCTCAAATCTTTTAATAACAAAACCTTTAGAGATATATAAAGTAATGTTTACCCTGGGGGCTGAGACTATCCCAGTGCTTGCCAGTGTCTCTTCAAGGGGCAGCAAGCTTCAAGAAATGTGACCTGCACTTTATCATGTCACCGTTCTAAGAACCGGCTGCCCACATCTCCCTAGCATGGATTAGTTGCTGCTCCTCCTCTCCCAATCCCTGGCAATTAGTACAGCAGAACAAAGAAAGGAGTGCATCCTGTTTCAGGTTAACCAGTTTGATTCAGCATTGAGCACCAGCTACAGATAACTTTTTTCCCCAAGTGTCTTCAAAATAAAGACAACTCAATTTAGGTAATTTTATATAGAAGAAATCAGGTATTAAATGTATCATGGATAATTCTAAAATGATACTGTCCATAAAATGGGTTAAGCTATTAGTCCCACTTTAAAGGCACTAAATGCTTGTGACAGTGTTATTCTATACACTTAAAAAATGTGGGAGACTAAGAAGCATTCAGAGAATTTAGCTTAATTAATGGAAAATTTGGTAACATGCTTCATTCCACCAAGAAAAATCACAAGCTGAGAATGCTGTACCAATGAGCTGTCATCAAGGAATAGACAGGCATCCCATTCCAGACACACAAGCAAACAATCCCTCCCAACACACACACACACACACACACACACACACCCTTTTCACCAAACACTTCTCTTATGTGCACACAAACATCACTTTTTTTATGGACAAGGTACTTCAACAATCCCCTTCAAGATGCTGCACTACAATGATGTGAATATAACTTTGCATCATGTTTTGCTAGATATTTTACCTAAAGAAAAATGCTTTACTAAGTATACTAATATCAACAGCCTTTTGAATGAAAAAACAGGTAACCATTTCATCAACAGCATCACCTAATAGTGACTCTAGAACTTTCCCATCTCAACAATTTAATATTGCAATGATATAAAAATGTGACTTGCAATGCTATTTGCATACTTTGAAACTGTCTCTGAAAAACAATTGCAGTGGGAACGGTGGTAATACAACATAACCATATGTGAAGGACCTCACTGCACGCACAGGTGTCAGAGAATATTAACTGCATGCACACAAGTTCTTTATCAACTGTTGTGACAAATTACTATGAAAATTTGTACAGCAGCCTGACAGCATCTTCAAGTTTTCAGAGTACTACACATACTTTTTGTGGCAATAGCAAACTGTACATCCAATGATACTACAGGGTCCCCTCCTCTTATCAGAAATTATTCCATGTGTGAACAGGAGAAATAATGATCAGGCTCACAAAATAAAACTATACTTTCACAAAGTTATGATTTACAACTCAGCCCTTAATTTTAAGGATTCTAAAATACAATTTTAAAATACAAACCATTACTTACAAAAGCAAAATTCATCCTGTTATTTTTCGATCAGATGAAAGAATTATTTTCACAGACAAGATAATTATGAATCTGTGACAGAACAATAGACTCGAGTGTTAAAGAAGTTATACCTAGAGGTCTCTGTACACAGAGCATACCCATATGAAGCATGGGAGGGACAGTGAAATAATCCTAAATGTATCTCTGCTAGAAATTAATCATATACAGTGTTACAGATTACAGTGCTCATTGCTGCTGCATTTCTTATGTAACTGTCTAGGCTGTTCTGAAAGTGGTAAGAGGAAAATTATCTGAGAAGATATCTGGAACACACTGGGGGGTGGGGGGGCAAGACTGGGCTGCACTGCCTAGAGAAGCAGACCAGCTTTAATAGCTGGCTAAAAATTGACTCTTTACAATGTGACTGAAAATGACCCGTTTGTAGAAATTAAGACGAAGGGATCAACGACAAATCAAACTGGTTTCTCAAGGTGTGTATCATTACAATAAATCTCTGGACTATGCTGTCAGCAGACAGTGATGATTTTGGAGCAGGAAAAATGTAGTGTGGAATTAGTAATGCAGATGCTGAAAGGCCAGTGGCATGACTAGGAGAATGACTCAAACAGATGCTGCTTTGTTCCCATTTCCACTGCACCTCCCCTGCCAGGTAAAAGGCTGGTACACCCAAAGCTTTTAGCAGCAGTGTGCACAACTGTCAGCTGACAAACAACACAGAAAACAAGTCACACTATGTTATCTGTGATCACGTTCTTCGGTGTTAGTCCAGGAACTCGAGACTTTATTTATTTTTGCTTATTTTCATTAAACACATAAAGGTTAATAAACAGACATAGTCCAGAGTTAGTAGGTTGGTATTATAACATTTATTAAAATAATGCTATGGGTTAATAGAAACAGCAAAGAACCAAAGAATTAAAATGCAAGCTATGTAAAATCCCAACTAAAACCCAGAAGTGTCTAATGTATTCATTCATCAGCTAACTAAAAGCCCAAGAAAGACAAGACACCCAATATAATAAAGTACTGCAAAACAATTGGCAATTTTCAGTTATCAAAATTGTGGATTTTGCATTTTGTATCCTTTTCTCAATCAAGAAAAAAATTCTTTTGAATGTTATATAACATACATATAAAACAAGATAGAAAAATACATTATAAACTTGTAACAATGGCTGTAAATACATTATCTTACATGTTTCTCATAGGCAATAGGTTGGTTATGGTACATACATAGCATGAAACTACTAAGATAATAAAGAATAGACAAAAAATACATGTCAGCTGTATGGTAACATACCAGCGACACTCCCATCTACCCACGCTAAAAAATTACATAATACTGTCAGGAAAAAAGTCTTAAAAACTACATACTTTAATAAGAAAAAAATTCAATAGTGATAATACTGAGAACCAAGGCATTCAGAGATTCCAAAAGTCATGCTTTTTTTCAGTTGACTCAAAACATTGTCAACTAAGTTTTCAAAAGTTTGTTCAGAGCCAGCATTACTCATAAACGTCACACGTCTATTGTTTTACACATTTACTTTCTTCCCCATGAAAGACCTTTGATAAACATCTAAAATGTCCAGGTATAACACAGCTGAGATGAGACTGGATCAAATACTGGTACTGTTTTTTTTGTTTTGTTTTTTTTTTTAACCATCACCTCAAGTGTTCTGAGTGTCGCAAATTTATTCAACCAACCAAACAAAATAAAAATCAAAACGGCACAGCATATATTGTAAATAAATCAAAATCACATGTGTAACAGAAAGACAAAGCAGTGGTACATTAAACCAAAGCTAGCTGAGTACAAAACAAGGACTGTCTATTGCATAGTAAATAAACTGAAAATGGTTCCAAGTGAGATACAATAATGGCGAGGTCACCATGAAGGTGCCCAAGGAGCTTCCTGCTGACCTTGACTGTGAAGCCATGGAAGTATGGAAGAGGGCATGAGTTGATGAGCCAGGAATCCACTACCACTTGACATTTGCCACATCTGGTACTGAGCAGTTAATGATTTATCAACTCAAGTATTTAGATGCGGGCTTTGCATACAAACTGCTTACTACAAAACTGAACTTCGTGAGAAACTGAAGATAAAAAGGAATGTAGCTGAGCATTTATATGCACTGTGATGTTAGCTTTCCGCATTCCTTTAAAGTTAAAAAGGGGGGCAAAAAGGTGTGTTTAGGAGCAGTTACTAAAGCCAGCAGAGAGGGACTGCACAAGGTATTTGGTATGACATAAAGTCTGATTAAATTAGGGCTATGAACACTTTTTTCCACAATAAAAAATTTCAAAGATTTGTTTTTGTGAAAAAGCTTTGTTAGGCATATTACAATTATCTCCAATTACTAAGAAAAAAATCCAATATATCCCTCTTCTCTAAATAAAATAAAGCTCTAATTTAATTTTGTCTGTAAACTGACGTTCAGATCTCACATAATTTTTTCTAACCTCAGAGTCTTCTGGGCTAACACTGAAATTGGCAATAACCAAAACTACTCAATTATGATTTGTAAAAGAATGACATTTTAAAATTTACCAGTCAAGACATTAGAAAAGCTATCACATTTTTTTCACAGTATCAGATTTGGCAAATTGACATCAAGATATTGTGACACAAATCATAAAATTTAGACCATCAACTCATCTGTTTCCCCTCTTATCTCCTTCACATACTGGGCGATGGAGGACATGCACTAACTTTTACTCTGAGGGAGGAGCTGATCTTGCAGGACACTTGACTAAATGACCATGAAGGAAAATAAGGCACTTTCTTTTTCTTTAGACTTATTCCAATACTTAAAAAATAAAAAACAAAGACAAAAAGGCTCTTTTGGTCTTTTGTTTCTTGACAACCACCAGAAAAAATCATTTAATGAAATAAAGGGTTTCTTTGTTCTTTTTCTTTTTTTAATAACACTTGAAAGTATAAAATGCTACATTTCCAAAAATATATATATATTTTTTTCTGCACCAGCACCCTTGTATAGTAAAAGTATCTACTTTTTGTTCATTTGTTTCAATGCACTACACTTTATCTACAATTTCATTACATGTATACAGCAAATAGGCAAGCATGGCTTTTACATCCTTAATGATATTTTCTATACAGGGAGGTTTAAAAAAAATATTCGAACAGTTTGCCCAGTAATGTGACACATAATGCATGTACCTTGTTCTTGTATAATTTTTAAGGTGGTGTAAAATAAAGATTTGGAAATTTTAACTCAGATACTCAACTTTTTAAAAATAGTGTTGCAGTTTTGTTCTTTGCATTACTTTTCAAAACTCCTTGTTAAGTTTTTCTCTCATGGCACACTTTGTTCTAATACTTCAAATTTTGGCAGGCAATATAAAAAGGCTGCAATTTCTGCCCTTTGAGGGCACTGTAGTGACTAAACAAACAACATGTCAAATTTTGAATACTTTTGAAGTCACTTCACCAATGACATCCCTGACCGAAGGAAGGTTCATGCATGATGCATTGTCACACAGTACATTCAGAGAGAACTTTGACTTCACTATGAGAAGAAAGAGATTCCTACAAGTCTCTCACAGTAACTGCCTCTGTCATTGAGTAGTTAGGGCCATCTGTCTCCCCTTCTTAAGAGAGGCCTTCTTACCGTTCGTTCGCTTGGGGTGGGTGGGGCATTGAAAGATGATCAGTGCTGTGGGATGAATCGGGCCTTATTGCTTTACTACTATTCAGTGCAGGTTCTAGAACCACTTTCACCCAAACGGGGGGCAGGGAAAAGCTGAGTTGGAGGACAATTTCTTTGTCTTTTGTTTGGTTAGATGGTAAGACGAACGGACAAGTGCCTCAGCTCGCTGCACTGACGACAGGCAAGCAAAGGCGATTACCAGTTAACTGATCAGCAGGCAGGCATGGTCAGGTCATCATTGGGTGAAGAGTTCAGAGGTCAGAAGGTCATAGGTTAGTTGCCGGTGGCGGCTGGGGGGGTAGAAACAAAAACAAAAACAAAAACAAAAAAACAAAAAAAAAAACAAAAACAAAAAAAGAAAAGAAAAGATAGAGAAGAGATTAGTTTCAGCTAGTGACGGCTTAATGACAACATGAAAAACTAATCACAACTAATAAAAAAAGCATGTTGAATTCTGACAAACTGATTGACACCATCTACAGAATACAATAAAAATCATGACAATTTCATATCATGATTTGAACAAATAAGAAGAGCCCACTCCCACAAAAATGATTTAAAAACAACCCAACTTGTTAACAGAAAAAATAGAAATAAAATACAGCTAACAACTAATAGTTAGTAGCAGTCAATGAAGGAAACTGGAAAACAATGATGAATAGGTTTGGTAAAGAACTTTGAACAGTCAGTGCAGTTATGAGTATCTGACTGCTATTAAGCATTAGTATTCTCTCAGATGCAAGCAATAAAGCAACTATTAATGATGGATGTGATTATTAATAACTGATGATTAACAGAAATGAATCTAAAGAAATTTAAATTACTGTGAAAAATTTGGTTCAACATAAACTCTGGGCCAAACAAAGTTTCTTTTGTTCAATAAATGTTTATTGCTTTTTCAATTATTCTATTTACAAACAACATGGAGTTTCTTGGCCTCATGATACAAAGCAATACTGTAGTCTAGCAGTGTAGGCAACATCATGGGAACCAGAAAAAGGCCAGGCCTTGTGCACCAGCCAACGCGTTCCAGTTGAAAATACTAATTTACACATAGAGAACACTTATAAAATGCACTTGCATGTAAACACTGTAAAATCCTGCCATTTAAAACTCTATACCTCAAAGAACTCTAAGTACATAAAAAATAGAAGAAATTTCTAACTGATACCAATAAGGCATTTTCAAAACTACAAACAGCTTTCTTTATTCAATTTCAAAGCTAATACTCTGCAAATACAATAAAATCTGACATTTCATATACATTCCTGCTTTATATTTTTATATTTTAAAAGAAGCCACCTGTAAATACTATTTTCTTTTGCAAAGTAACAAAAAGAACAAAAAATTTAAAAAAAATTACAGTAAAACACAAAGTAGTTCTCAAGTGGAAAAGTTATCACTCCAAATGTCCTTGAGTAGCTCCTTCCTTAGTCAACCTGTCACATTCTACTTCACCAAACTTGGTCCACTTAACAGTAGTATAATTTTAAGACTCATTCAACAGCTTAATTATTTCTCCTATATTCTGAGGTTTGACAGAATTTTCTGTACTGTTGCCATTTTGACAAAGGCAGGAGAGATGTGAATGAAGAGATGCTCAGTGCAAAGTTAGATTCTATGCCACTTCATAAATCAAACCTAGCAGGTGTAATGTTCACAGGGATTAAATGTTCTATATAGTAGACTCATTTACCTTTGTATGACAAAAAAGTTTTCTATACTTTATCAATTAGGACAGTTTATAAATACTACAAAAATACTGTATCTTCAATATAATCAAATCTTCCCTGAATTTTTTAAAAAGGAAATGGAATTTTATTTAAAATTTAAAAATAAAAATGCTGCTCTCCAAAATTTAATTTGTGTAAGTAACAGTTTTTATCAAATAGTTACTTGGGTAATTTCTGATTATGTTTGAGTGTGGAATATTTAACAAAGCAAATGATCATATATATCCAGTACATCTAGAATACATCCTCTGCCATGTCCTGGCCTCCTACAGTACACACAGGTATGTCAACTGTGCAAAATCACTTACAGTTCCTTACAACTATAAGGTCAGTTGGTCTTTAAGTTTCAAACTGATTTTGAACTAAGCATGGAAGTGGGTTTGTTTTCAGTAAGCAACCCCTCTAAATGCTCACACATAGTTACAAAGTTGTGTGTCCTTGGGCTGTGTCCTTGCATCAAATGAATGCTAATAATAATCTTCTCTTTAAAAGATTTTCTTAAATAAAAAGAAAATAGAGAAAACAGTAGTATCATAAAATAATGTAAGTCAAGGACTTAGGTCATCTCCTTTAGACCCAATGAGTCCATGTGGTGATAGTAAGCATAAGCAATCTGTTTCTAGAAAAAGAAGGGAGGAAGGGAAGGAAAGGGTACTTCGGTTTGCTGACATTGATAACTAATCAAAATAAACACAGCTACAGATGAGCCATGTATGGAATGTGTTGTCATTTTCCAAACATAGTAAAATCTTGGTCTAATATTTTTAACTATCTGAAGGCTCTGGAGTACAAAGTGAGAAACAATTATTGTGTTAACAAAATTATAGAAAACCTCCTAAGAGAAGGGAAAGAAAATCTAAGAAGAAAAATTACTTGAAAAATCAGAACATTCTATAAGAGAATTACTTTAGACTTTAGCAGTATGAAACAGCTTCAACTACTTAGGAGACTGCCGGCACCTAAAGTGGCCTTCCCCATCTAACTTTCTCATCTCTAGGTGACCCTGACAGAATGACTGATATGCATGAGTTATTATCATTATCATTATGGATGTTGCCAGATAAGGATTTTTGTTTAATTAATAGGCACTATAGAAAAATGTATACATTAGCTAAAGTCTTCAGCACTGTCAGTATACATGATATTAAATATCATCAATGTCTTTGGAAAGGCATTTTATTTCAAATACACAAAACAACTATGTCCAGTATTTATGAAGGGTATTCAAGGGTAACCATGTCAAATGAGCTAGGGTCCTTTTCTACTATGCTTGGGATTCCAATCTTGCAATTAAAAACAAAAACAAAACCACCACACAAAAAAAAGTAAAAAACAATTCAATGTCAAAAAGCCGAAACTACCATTCCTCAAATAAGCATAAATAATTTTAAAATGGGTCCAAGAGCATATATAGGACACAAGTTACAAATATGAAAGTGAGAAAAATGAAGACTTGTTTTCCAGTCACAGGTTAGTCAAAAAGTATATCCAAACAGCTGGATCTCACATACCACAGAATTTTAGGAGTTTACCTTCAGGTACTATATTTTAGCAGCAAATGTCAAAAATCAAAGGATCCATTTTGGCAAGAAAATGGAATGAGAGGGAACTCATTTTTCTAGTTGATAAAAGTATCCACCTACATGAAAGTTATTTTCACAGTCCTGACTACTGGTTTTAGCTAAGTACTTGACATGTATGCCTTCATGTTTATACAGTGGCTCAATGTTTTACTATATAGAAAAGTAGAAACTAAATTTTCAGTTTTCTCCAAAATTACACAGAAGCAAATTCCTTTACTTCTCTCATGAAAACATAATCTGTTCAATTCATTTTGAATATCAACCCAAATATTCAGAATAATTAAAGAGTAAGTTTTAGCAATAACTATTGCTAAAAATTGCTAAGGTAATATAAAAATTTAATAGTTCTTCAAATTGACTAATTTATGTTTTAACTGGAATAAATTTTAGGACATAGTAATAGAAGATTTAATAAATTAAAATATAAAGGGGAGAGGTGAAAACCCAAACCAACCCCCACCCAAATCTAAACAAAACGACAAAACCAACCTTCAATCAACCAATTATTAAATTAATTTAGAGAAGGAAAAGAAATGGTGTGCAGATAAACAGTTACATTTTCCCATCAGGTGTGGTGTTGCAAACTTTATGGACACCCAGCGTATTGCTTATAAACAAGAACTGCAGAACTAAACTAACCTCGGTCTGCGGTCACAATCCTTTGGTAAGGATGGACACGCATATCGTGCCTTCGAACTTTAGTAGCCACCGCACCTAGTTAAATTGCAATTACCAAGACAAAGTTAGAAAACATACATAAGGGAAACATCAACAGCAGGCTTATCAAAATGGATCTCAAACGTTCACTTACTACAAAAGCTTAAGAAACACGTTAAGGCACAGTAGTTTTTAAATTAACTGTAGTATGTCTGTATATATGAATCTACCAATATTGCATTCATTTCAAACAGGCTGGCCTTCCACGCACTTCTCGTTTACAGTCCCCAAGTCACAGTGTCTCGTGAGCTCTGTTAGAAGCAGTCGTAGCTGAGCTTTACTAGTCACATATTCACTGAAGTGCCTTTCTTGCAGCAGGACGACTTAAATAATGCCACATTTAATACTGACAAGTATTTGCTAACCTTAACTTTCAGAGTTTATCACTTAAAAAAGGTTTAAAAAGCAACTCTTAAAGCCTACAGATTGTGGTTTTAAACTTCCAAGTCAATAAGTATGAACTGCAATGAATTAGGTGATTAGTAAAGCAAACAGTACAGTACACTTAGCAGTCAGTATACTACTATACACTCCTTTTATAAATTACCGTTACTTTGCAGTATTACAGACTAATCCAAATTAATAACATCATTTTACTTTATATCTATGTGCAAAAGTGCAAGTAAGTCACTGACTGCTAGGCTAAGCTTTTCCCCGGAGGCTGCTGAGACTAAGCATTGGTTAAATTCAGATCTGATGAGGGTTCGGTTAAGACCGTTCTTGAATTCTTAGCCTTTCGTTGGGAAAGCCATACCTAAAGATAAAAGGAAGGGAATTAAACATTAGTCATCAATGAAGATTTGATGCTAATACCAATCTCCTCTCCTCACTACCACCAACACACATGTCTGCATCTGTTTTGAAGGGCACTGCTTATTTTAAAATAATGTGAGACTTGATACATAAGCATGCATGTTATCTGTGTGCAAATTTACAGTAAATTGGGAATTTAAATTATTTCCTCAGTTCTCTAGAGGGCCGATATCATTGTTTTACTGCTTAGGTGGCAAAGCAAGAAATAACAATAATCATAAGAGTATTTTTCTCACTTAGTACTTACTATTAAGAACCTTGAAAATGCTAATTGGGTATCTGCATAATTTGCACTTAATTTGCCAGTTTAATATTCAAGTCTTCATAATTATAAATGTCCCAACCAAACCAAACATGTTGCTTTACAATGAGAAACTTTACAGCAGTGCCTCTTGCTGTCTCTAAGCAGTAAACTGGTTGAGAAACTATTATTCATTTTAGATATGCAGATTGCATAGAAATATAATTTTATCTGGCAAAACTAGGGAGCTCTCATACTAAGCATCAGGAGCCCCAGACTTGCAGAAAGCCAAGAGTCATAACTCCTCAGGAACAGACGCTGTGAGTGCAGCAGAGAGGAGTGCTGGGGAAGGAGCATGCACAGGGCCACAGGACAGAGTATTAATAGAAAGGAAAACTTAAATAAGGTTACAGGTTACATGTTATTTTTTAAAAAATGCTTCAAGAAATATGCAACAGAACACAGCCTTTCACTAACATTTCTGTGGTATAATTCTGACTTATTTTATACAATGATTCAGACAAAAAAAATTACAATAAAATGTATTTGTCTATAAAACAAAAGGCACCTAGGTGCATGCACACACACAGATAACATACAGAGCATTATAGCTTTCTTTAAATGAACAATGAATTTTCAAGTTTAAATCTTTATGTCCAAGTTCATTAAAGATTTTCCAATTGATATTAAGCTGGGGAGAGCCCTTTAAAAGATCAAAGTTCTAAAAAGTCATTAGCAAGCACAGCACCAAAGGTCATACACAATTGGGGGGGGGGGGGGGGTTCAAAATTCAAAAGGGAAAAACAGG